TTTTTTTTTTTTTTTTTTTTTTGGTGTCGTTTGTTTCTGAGACAGGGTCTCGCTTTGTCAGCCTCCACCTCTTAGGCTCAAGTGATCCTTCCGCCTCAGCCTCCTCAGTAGCTGGGAATACAGTTGCACGCCACCATACCCAGCTAATTTTTTGTATTTTATGTAGCGAGAAGGTTTCACCATGTGGCCCAAGCTGGTCACGAGCTCCTGGCCTCAAGCCATCTGCCCACCTCGGCCTCCCAAGTGCTGGGATTACGGGGGAAGCCACCGTGCCCGGCTGGCATGGGTTTACAAGGATCTGCAAGGGTCAGATTAAGCTTTGTGTGGATTAAGAACGGGAGCGACTTGCTCTTTCAGAGGCTGCCCAGCTGTGGTAATTTTCCGTGGTTCTTCCACCCTCTGGGTCATTTTTACTTCAACTGTGAAATGCGGGTAGGCCTCTAAGGTCCCGTTTCCATTCTCTGCATTCCTCATGACCATCCAGACAAAGCTGCTACCGCCATCCCAACGGATGAGGAAGGCTAAGTTACTTTCCTAAGGCCACAGACAGTAAATGCAGCTTCCACGTTGGAACCCCGGTAGGGTGGCTCCAGTCCCCTGCTCTGAACCCCCCAACTCTACAGCCTACCCCATCACCCTAATAGGCCCTGCAGTGCAGTGGTGATGCGTCTGCTCCGGCGTCAGACCAGACCCGCCATGCCACTTGCAAGCTGTGGCATCCTGGGTTAGTCACTTGCGTCCCTTCAGCCCATTTCCTTATGTGAGCAATGTACACCCCAAACACTTGCCTCAGCCAAAACAACACTTGCCTGACCAGGAGGAAAGATGCGCGAGTCTCAAACAACTGCGTGACTTTCCGTCTGCGGGGGGCGGGGGTGGATTTTTGGGGAAAAGGGACGCAGAGCCCGAACACCGCGGCTCCAAGGTCTTCCCGCTCCTTTCTTGCCTGATTTCCTCCATTCCCCCGCGGGGCGACCCTCGGTCTCCTACCGTGTCCCCGCTCCCGCGCCCCCTGCCCCCAATTTTTCTTCCTCCCACGGGGCTGAAAAAAGGTCGTGGTCCCTTTAAGGCCCGCCCCTCCCTCTCCCAAAACTTCCCAGTGTCTGCTCTTTTCGATCCGGGACGGCCGGTCAGGCTCGCCGCCGAGCTGGTAGGGGCTGGGGGCGAGGGGTGCG